TTCGCGGCTGCTGTCACGCATGAACTTCTGTGTGGCGACTTGAGAAGATGAAACGACTCATTCTCATGAATTACGCTTCCCTATAAAATTTTCGCGTTCTGCTTGATTTGAAACTCTTCAAGACTTCAGCTCCAGCCGTTTTTTCAACAACCAAGGTGTGCAACCACAGCGATAGTTCAAGCCATCGCAGGATATGTAAGATGACATGCGGCAGCCGGGTCAGCCCGAAAATAGCGGGAGAGTGCTGGATCAATAACGATCAAACGTCATATTTGCCTGTAACACAATGTGCTTTGTTCCCATCGATTTGTGATCCTTTAAAATCAGCACGTGAATAAGGAGGTATTGACAGAAGGGACTTGATAAAAATTTCCAGATGATCGCAATGGAGATTGATAGTAAAACCATCACTGGAATGCCCTATAAAATGGACGGGCAAGAATATGTCTCCATCGAAATGTTGTTCGCCCTCATACCACTGTGCTTCCTCTTGGTCAACGTAGGGGCTCACAGTAAGTACAGTCGTTCCTTCTCTGTGGTAGTTAAAACTTCTTCTGGGCCTATCACGGCAGACAAAATAGTTATCGCTCCACGAGTGGTGCAGGATAATGTGTTTTCAGATAGATGCCCTACCTACACAGCAATGGAGGAGTGGTACTCGGGGTTCAATCTGGGCCTCAACTCCAAACTGGTTGGTGTTCTGAAAATTTTTTTCTTTGGTTATTCATATCGACTGTCGCCTGTAAGACCACACAATTCATTTTCTGGGATCGCCCCGTATTCTATGTTGCACACCGTAAAAATCCTACATCTCTGAAGTTCTTAATCTCTGAACTCATTGAGGTATCTGATGGAATGCAAGCTTTTTTCACGATTATGCGCGGAGTGAACTGAAAGCGTGCGCTGAAATGAGCATGGAATTACTGATAGCTAGATGCCTCTCGGGCTACATCTACGGATGCGCAACCTGCGGTACGGCGGGGGCAGGCATACGCCTAGGAATAGCCTAACACGCTTCTTGTGGGCTTCCTCTCATATTGGCCAGTCTCCACACACAGGCAGCTCGCAGTTCATGTTACGCGCTTGGATTCCTCGGCACCAACACAAGTGCGCACTTAGCGAGCAGTTGGCAGAGTCCTATACGGCAATCAGCAATCACAGCCCCCTGCTTCTTTCCACTCATTTTCGAGCAGTGAGGATGACACATTTCTGCGCGAATCTGTCTAAGTCACATATGACATGCACTCATGTTGCAGGTAAGTGTAAAGGGTATCTAAACGCCCACAGAAATGGAGCTCGAGACAATTCCTCAAAGACAGTTTTGCTTTCCAGGAATGGGACGCAGGACTTTCCAGTGACGCTTGTAACGAAGCAAGAGGTGTTGTACCCTCTAATGCACCTCATAAATTCAAGGCAGAAAAGTAGGTATCTGCTCATGCCAAGAATATTCCACAAGTAAAGCAGCTCGTTAAGAACGTTCACGAGGGATGGATCAGTCCCAGACATGATAATGGAAACCCTAAAGGACGGTTTGAAGGACAAAATACAAACCGAGAATGTGAGTCAAAACAAAATTTTTCATAACACTGAGATTTTGTATTTCTTATAAATTGTGCGGCAAAGGCTCCATGATTTACGAAGCATTTCTGAGGTGAGCGGGATGCCTAAATAGAAAGAAGTTTCGCGAATCACGGAGTTTCCATATTGGTCAGATTCTGTGTTATCGTTTTTCGTGTAGGTACGCAACTTCCTGCACACACCAGGTATGGATGCAACAGCTTCTTCGAAAGGGAACCTAGTAAAAGTCGTCTGTGTCTACAAGACCATCTAAGAATGATTTGTCTCCAGTAAGCACGCAGTCGATGAGAAACATTAGACTGGTTTCCCGCAAAATAAAGTTTCCTCAATGAATCTTCTTCGAATGAATAAGGAATATGAAGTATGAACAACCGACAGATTACCTATGCTCTTGCTGAATACACTGTTATGGAAAAATTCTGTTTTGACTCACATTCTCTGCGTTGTGGTTTGTCGTTCAAAGCCGATCCTGCTTAGAGTTTCCATGCTATTCATGTCGAAGCGACTTGCATCCATCCCTCGTGAACGATCTTAACGAGCTGCTTTATTTCGCGGAATATTGTTTGTATGAGCAGCCACCCACTTTTCTGCCTTGAACTTATGAGGTGCATTGGAGGGTACAATACCTCTTGCTTCGTTACAAGCGTCACTGGAAAGTCCTGCGTCCCATTCCTGGAAAGCAAATACGTGGTCTGTAGTGGAATGTCTCGAGCTCCATTTCTGTGGTGCGTTTTAGCATCCCTTTACAATTACACTGCCAACCATGAGCTGATGCATACTGTGACCTTAGACACGATTCGCGCAGAAATGTGTCATCCTCACATGCTTCCGAAAATGAGTGCAAAAGAAGCAGGGATAGTGCTTTTTTCTATTAGCCGTATACAGATTCTGCCAACTGCTCGCTAAGTGCGCACTTTGTGTTAGGTGCGAGAATCCAAGCCGTCAATCATGAACTGCGAGCTGCCTGTGTGTGGAGACTGGCCAATATGAAAGGAAGCCCACAAGAAGCGTGTTAGGCTATTCCTAGGCGTATGCCTGCCCCCGCCGTACGGCAGGTTGCGCACAAACCGTAGATGCTTAAGCCGCGAAAAGGCATACTAGCTATCAGTAATTCCATGCTCATTTCAGCGCACGCTTTCAGTTCACTCCGCGCATAATCGTGAAAAAAGCTTGCATTCCATCAGATACCTCAATGAGTTCAGAGATTAAGAACTTCAGAGATGCTTAGATTTTCGACGGTGCGCGCAACATAGAATGGGGGCGGAATCCCAGAAAATGAATGTGTTAGTCTTCAAGCGACAGTCGATATGCATAATCAAAGAAAAACATTTTAAGAATGCTACCAGTTAGAGTTGAGGCCCCAGGTTGAACCCCGAGTACCATTCCTCCATTGCTGTGTAGGTAGGGCATCTATCTGAAAACACATTATCCTGCACCACTCGTGGAGCGATAACTATTTTGTCTGCCGTGATAGGCCCAGAAGAAGTTTTAACTACCACAGAGAAGGAACGACTGTACTTACTGTGAGCCCCTACGTTGACCAAGAGGAAGCACAGTGGTATGAGGGCGAACAACATTTCGATGGAGACATATTCTTGCCCGTCCATTTTATAGGGCATTCCAGTGATGGTTTTACTATCAATCTCCATTGCGATCATCTGGAAATTTTTATCAAGTCCCTTCTGTCAATACCACCTTATTCACGTGCCGATTTTAAAGGATCACAAAGCGATGGACAAAGCACATTGTGGTCACGGCCCAACATATGACGTCATGATCAGTTATTGGATCCAGCACTCTCCCGCTATTCGGGCTGACGCCGGCATGCCGCATGTCATCTTACATCACCTGCGATAGGTTGTAATTATTCGCTTGTGGTTGCACATCTTGGCATTCGTTTGAAACAACGGCGCGAGCTGAAGTCTTGAAGAGTTTCAATCGAAGCAGACACCGCGAAAATTTTATAATGGGAAGCGTGCATGTCATGAGAATGAGTCGTTTACATCTTTCTCAAGTCGCCATCACAGAAGTCATGCCGTGACAGCAGCACGAAGTCGGAACTTGATATATATCCCGCTCTGCTTTCGTCGCTTCCCACGATACGGCGGATCGACTGCTGTGACCGCTTCTGACGCCTTGTTTCTGACTCTGTCGAGTCGGAGTTCAGTCGCCGCATGGCCATCTCAGCATTCTCACTTCGCTTAGTGGAGTGCCTTCCACGGTTCTTGCGTTATTGGCGAGAGCACTCACCTCAGAGCACGGTCGTTAACTATGCTGCTGAGGTGCAGGAGCCGTGAACACCGAATAACAAACGCGGGACCGCCCGTAGTCTCGACTGTGGTAAGAGTAGTTCTAGCCTGCACTCTGATGCTGTAGCGGATCTTAGCAGACATTTGCCTTGCTTGAGAATGACTTCTGCATCTGATGTAAGAAAACCAAGCTTCTGCACGCCTGAGAAGTCTAGCGAGCCAGTTCAAAGACCACTGCTAAATCGTCGGAATGGCTTCGAAGACTTCGAGTACACCTTCTGCATAGTGAGCTAGCGAGCTTGATGGTGGCCAGCCTTGACAGGCCGCCAGAAGCTAGAATCGATGCACTCCTTGGATGCAAATGCGAGCGAAATTCGACGGTCTCTGCAACCTGGCAATGCTCGAGAACGCTCCAGGGGCAAGGGCTGCCTACCGCAGTTGGTCTAAACTGCTGCCCCGACAAAAGCATGAGAACCAGATAGCTCCTCCCATACCGCTATCAAAAGCAACAGATCGAAACGAGCAAATCACCAACATACAGACTTCGCCACACGCTCGACAGCATCGCTCGAGAGAATGACCGCGCACCAACCCAAACCAACCAGAAAAAAAACCATGCGACAACAAACCTAAAAAAACCTCAAACACGGACTCGACAGAGTCACAGAAACAAGGACGTCGAGCGCGCTCACACAGACGACATCCGACCTAGCTGGAAGCACGGCAAAGCTCCAGAGCCGAGGATATCATACCCATTCGTAGATTTTGTAATTCTTATAAATTGTGCGGCGAAGGCTGCGATGCCTAAATAGAAAGAAGTTTCGCGAATCACGGAGTTTCCATGTTGGTCAAATTCTGTGTTATCGTTTTCGTGTAGGTACGCAACTTCCTGCACACACCAAATATGGATGCAACAGCTTCTTCGAAGGGAACCTAGTAAAAGTCGTCTGTGTCTACAAGACCATCTAAGAATGATTTGTCTCCAGTAAGCACGCAGTCGATGAGAAACATTAGACTGGTTTCCCGCAAAATAAAGTTTCCTCAATGAATCTTCTTCGAATGAATAAGGAATATGAAGTATGAACAACCGACAGATTACCTATGCTCTTGCTGAATTGCCGAAGAGTGAATACATGTGAGTCTTTGGTAGCTTGCTACCTGTCCGTATCATTACTAATTTTGCAGCTCATACGAGAGTAATATGTATAGTGTAGTTCGCTGCGGACGGTTGGGCGTGTCAGGCGGGATGAGTTTGGCGCGGTGCCAAACCCGTTCTCCACCAGTTGTTGAAGCGAGCAAATGATATGACTGTATCATATCGTTCGTATTACTCGTTTTCTACCACTTTTTGTCGCATGCGCGCTTCAACAAGAAGGCAGAGAACGGCTTTGACGGGGTGACACACTCATACTGCCTTACACGCCCAACTGCTCATTGTTAGATGGAAGCATCTACTACAGGGGGGGGGCAAAAAAAAGTCACTTCGACCGAGTCACATATCAGCAAAGTTTTCGCAGCCCAGACAGAGGACGTGGATACGAGTACCAGGGCGGAAGATACCCAAGATGTTCCTCTAAGCAGGAGCTGGCTCTCGCCCATCACCTTCATGTACACCAAAATATGAAGTCATCTCCAGTCGCAGCCTGACTGGAGAAGACCTTTGGAATTCATGTCACCTCCAAACAGCTGCGAAACTTCTAGTATGGAGTCACCCATGGATAGCTACCTGGAGACCAGTACTCTCGATCTGGAAGACCTCCAACATCGAGCAGCTCCGACAACGTCGCTACGGTCTAGGACATCATCTTCACCGTAGTCGCCGAGGCGCGAGTTGATGGTATGGACCGGAGTACCTGAATGGGAAGACCGATATTTTCTTTGTAGACCCGGACTGAAGGTGAGCGCTGGCGGTTACATCGAGCAACTCGAGAAGAATGTCGTCGCCCGTACCTTCTTGGAAACTTTGTACTGCTACAGGTTTGGGTGCCACCACATGGAATCGAAGGGCGTTGGAAAAACTCTCGCCTACTTGGAATGGAAGGGCGTTGAGTACCTGAAGAAGGTGGAATATCTAAGCAGGTCACCTAAACCCCCTCAATTACCTGGTTCGGGCGGAGTTCAATAGGGTGGTCTACAGTGGCGGAGAAATCAACGATCTCGCTGAAAGGCACCCACTCACGGTCGCGTGGCAGAATCTCTCGATGGCGCTCCTCCAGAAGGCTGTGGCGGAGTATCATGATAGTATTTGATATGCTCTTTAATATGGTGGTAAAAATGTCCGATAAGAATTTAATAAAGTGTAACTTATAGCGCCTCGAAAGTCAAGGAGAAAAGTCTTTTTTTTGCCCCCCCCCCTGTATAATCCGCTAAGTATGTCTGTCTGTCTGCGTCTGTCACGAAATTCATAGCGCCGGTCCCAGTAGCAGTGAGACATTGGTTTCAAGAAGTGATGTAGGGGGTGTGACGGGAACACTGGTGACAGGAAGTGATATCAGTTGATAAGATCCGATAAGAGGCGTTAGAAGGGGGAGGTCACCATATTCATAACGCGGGTGACAGCATCAGCTAGCTCTTGATTCCGAGATATGATATAGGGTATGGGCCAAGAACATCATGTAGGTGACAAGAACTGTAAGCTGCTGATAAGATTCGATAAGGGGCGTTAGAAAGGTGAGGTCATCGTATTCACAGCGCAGGTCACAGCATCAGCGAGGCGTACGTTTCAGCAAGTGATATAGAGGGTGAGATGGGACATCAACCGTGGGTGACTAGAAGCGATAACTACTGATAGGGGCTGATAAGGGAGTTGCAGTCGTCGTCGCTGTTCAAGGTGGTTCACGCTACCAAATCATAGAGATTTAGTGATGAGGACATTGATGACGGGTGACAGGTAATCTTATCAATCGATAAAAACAGATAAGATACCATCTGCGCTACATTTTTATCACTTCTTACCACTTTAATGCCGAGTATTAGAGGCTCAGGGTGTGAACTCTTTCCTTTG